CCCGCACACCTGCCACCTGCCACAGTGAGGTGCTGGTGATCAGGCTGCCTTCCCGCCTCTGGGCCTTGTTTTCCTCCTTTGTAAAATGTTTGGGTGTGGCTGGTGGTCATGAAAGTCTTCTCCAGCTCTGTCTATTCTGAAGTTTTTTGAGAGTTTGGAGATGGGGAATCTGAAAACTTACGTTGTTATGAACTAACTGTGTGACGCTTGAGCAAATAACCTCTGCTCCCTGTGCCTCTCCTATGGAAGACGCGCACCCAGGGTGGTGAGGCCCAAAGGAGAGAACGCATAGATGGCCGGTGGTGATTGAAGGCCCCTGGACAGTGCAGTAGAGGGTGGCGGTCTCTGTGAGGGGCATGGCACCCGTGGTTGTTGCTGTCCGGGTGCGTGTGTCTTCTTTGTTGTTTGTGGTGCTATCCTCCAGTTGCTCCGGACGTGCTCTGTCCCGGGAGTTGGCATTTCCTCCCTTCTCTCCTCGCCATTCACTCAACTACACCTGCCAGGTGTCCCGGAGCTGGGCTAATGTTGAGGCTTAGTAGGCTTAAAATAATTTCAGATTTTGTCTTAATTGGACAGAAGTTGATGTGTAGTATACCGCTGAGCTGTTTGTCCAAAGGACTTCAAGCCAAAAATCTCAAGTATATGAGTCAGAGATGAAATTTACTTACCTAAGAACACACTGTTTTAGAGTACCTCTAGGAACACCCGTTACATTCAACAGTATGGTTACATAGAGACTAACCTTGCTTAAGTTGATGAACAAACACAATTTGTTAAGGAAGGACCCGTCAATTGTCATGTCAGCCTTCCTGGGGTGTTCCAGAGTGGGATCTGTTCCTCTGGGGCCAGAACGGCGCTGAGTTTTGAGAAGCGTATGGTGGGATACTAGAAATGGCCAATTAATTACCTTGTTAATTCTTCTTGGCCTATGTTCTTCCTGTAGATTACCATATTTTGCTGTGTATAACACACTCTTTTTTGCTCAAATTTTTGAGGGAAAAATAAGGATGTGCATTTATACGTGGGCAGTACTAATTCTGTATCTGTATAAATGTTTTTAATTTTTTATTTATGCTTATGTGTTAAAAGTGTAACTCTAGAAAGCAATAATGATATCCATATGCAAAATAATACCCTGGAGTATGATAATCAGTTTTGTTTCTAAATATAAATAAATAAAAATGAAATTGAAAAATTAAAATGAAAGAATTTTTTCCTGAAAGTTTGAGCCAAGAATGTAGATGTGCATTATATACAGTAAAATACAGTAATCCAAAAGTTGATTAACTTGCGGCTGGGGGTAGGGGAGGTAGAACAAAGAATAAATAATCAATTTATTAATTCAAAAGAATAATTAAGTTTGCAAAGAAGGAGACTAACCTAGGTAGAATTTACACCGTGATATGTGTGTACACTACCAATTCTATAGAATTGATATCCTGATCATTTTTCCGCAGGAAGCCTTACTTCTCGCCTCTGAGTGCAATAAGACTGTTGCTACATGACCAACTTCCCCTTCCTGCACCGAAACTTTCTCAGACTCTTTGCTGATTTCAGACTGGCCCCTCCTCTGTGGCTGGTCAGAATAGGATGTTCTTCGGTTCCCATCAGAGAACTTGGCTGTGCCCTTTTTGAGTGCATAAATAGTTTGCTTGAAAATAACACAATAATACAATGTAGCTTAACTGGGTACTTAACTGTGTGAACTAAGTGCTTTATTTTCATGATCTAATTTAATTCTATCAATGATGGAGTGAGGTAGGTATTGTTATCTCCCCTTTTCAAGTAGACTGGGGCAGGCTGAGGCTCGGTTTGACTGAGAAGCTCTTCGAGGCTGCAGAGGGTTAGAGAGTTCAGGGGCTAGGTGACAGGAAGGTTTGCGAAGGATGGTGGGCTGCAGTCTGACTTTATGGCGGCTGCTTTCCGTCTTCATGTAACTTCTTTTGCTTCAAGAAGACATCTTGAAAACTCCCTGAGACAATTTACAAACACCCTTTTGATTGAAAACCATGGGTTCATTCACTTGGGGCTCTTTCAGCGAAGGGAAGTGACCTTGCTGGGCAACTCCTGCACCTCCTGCAGTCTGCTGCCCCTCCCCTGCGGCACACCTGCCCCAGGTGTGCCCAGTTCTGTGTGCTCCAGTCCTCCGAGGCAATGATTCCTCATTTGGTTCCAGTTTTCTAGGGCTTGGAAGCAGCTCCCAGCCTGAGGATTTTGTAATCTGGAGTCTATTCCTTGGAGCCTGGTCTGAGGAAAATGCTGAGGGCCCTAGGGAGAAAGGGCGGTGTTTGGGCCTGTGGGCCTGGCTGGGGGCTGGGAGGTAGTGTCTGGGTGTCCTCAGGGATACAATGGGCATACTCAGTGAGCACGTGGCCCTTGGGACCGCTATCAGATTGAAACAAAGCTTTGGGTTTAAGCTTTTAGTTGTGCACTTAGTTCTCCCCCACTAGCCTTGGAGGGGGCTCTGCACTCCTGGGAGGAGGGGGCTTTCCATCCAGTAGTTCTCTGCAGCCTACTTGACCACAGTGCCTGGCTGTATGTAACGGGCAGCACTGGGCCAAAGGCACTGGCTTGGGTGTGGGGCTTGGGCAGCACCATCCTCAAGGAGAGGGAGGCTGGCCTTGACCATGGGAGCCAAGGGTCCTGGGAATGAGTCAGTGTGGCTGCCCAGCCCCAGGGACAGGTTTCCCTTGAGGTGATTATTGGCCAAGGGGAAGAAAGCAGCCAGCCAGGCCCTATTAAAATTCTGTCCGTGGCAAGCAATCGTCTCTAGGAACTCTCCCCTGCAGGGTTGACAGAGTCTGAAGGGTAGAGTCCAAGATTCCAGCCGTGTTTCCCACCCAAGCTTCGGGAGGTTACTAGGGGAGCTCTGGCTCGGGAGCAGGCCGGCTTGCCAGGTGTTGCTGACACAGCGGAGAGCCATCATTGCCACAGCCACCCTGCATCGGGCCATCACCCCTGCCCGGCACTGGGCTCACACTGTTTGTTTTCCTCTTCAGAGCCTCCCAGGCTTGACCTTGTTATCCCCACTTTATAGACGGGGCTCGCAGAGCTAAGTCTGTAACTGGCGGGACCAGGATTCAAACTCAGGTCTGTCTGGGTTTCTTTCCACTCCACCATTGTGCCTCCTCAGAAGGTAGCGCTGACCTTGTGTGAGCATCTGGGGCAGTGACCCTGGCCAGGGCATCATCTCTAGGACACGAAGTGGGAGTGGAAGGTGGCACTGAGGTAAAAGGCATTGAGTATTGTTTCCTTGAATGGACAGGAGAGGTAAACGCCTCTTTTACACACAGAATCATCCTGGTAGGAACGGGATGACCCCCATCTTGTTCTCATCCTGATTTGGGGGTTAGGTCCACAGGGAAACAACTAGTCTCAGGGAAACTACGGCGTTTGGGACCCACACAAAAGCAGAAGCCTTCCTCACCGATAACTTCTGGGTCGCACCCAGACCCTCAGATCTTTCTTTTACCTCCGGCCCCTCGGAGACCTCGGCGTTCAGGTTGTTTGCTGTTACTGACTATCCTCCATCTCAACACGTCCTTGATCCCCACGGACACACTTCCCCGCACTTTAATGTCTGTGCAAATTGGCACACGTCTTGTCAATGAGGTCTACATTTGATGTGCTGGGCTGTTTAAATGGATGTTACAGTTGTAGAATTGATGGAGACCAAGATTGAGAAAATATGATAATTTATGCATTTATTCAACTCATCAAATGCTTACAGTAAAAGTCAGGCATTATGCTAGATGCTTAGAATACAGAAATAACCTGAATGTGGTCCCTTGCCTTTGGGAGATCACATTCTAGGGGGAAACAGACTAGATAGATGAGTGGCTCTAGCTCGTCGTAATAAGGGCTCTGAATTTGGGAAACCAGCATATGTGGGGCATGGGGTGGGGGGAGAGGAGTGGGGAGGCTGGGGCCACTTCACAGAGAGGGTGTGTCACCAAGAGGGTGGGAATCCAGAGGGATTAGGAAGCGCCCGGCAAGGGCGGTGGAGTGTTATTCCAGACAGATTGAATAGTTGGAGAAACAAACCGCAGGACCATGAGAAACTTGGACGTGCTTGCAAGCTTCAAAGGGTTCATCGTGGCTGGAATGGAGGGCGTGTGTGGAGACATGGTGTAAAATGAGGCTGCGGGAGCAGGAAGGGGGCAGATCAGGGAGGGCCGGGGTGCTGTGCAATGAGCAAATTTGCATGGTGCTCAAGGTCCTGCATGATCATAAGTTTAATCTCCATCCTGAGTCTAGCAAGTCAGCCAGGGTTTCAAGCAGGGAAGTGATGCCCTGATTTGTGTTTAGGAGCTCTGTAGGAAGCACTGGGAAGAAGATGGTGGGGTAGGAGGAGGTGGATAGAGTGGCAGCGATCGGCAGAGAAGGAAGAATTGCGCGGAGTGAAGCAAAGCCTCGTTTTCATTTCCTGTTCCCATACAGGGTGGATCTGGTCATGGAGGCTTGAGCAAGGTCACACAGTGGTGCAGAGGGACACCTAGAACCTGCAGGCACAAGTGACCTTGTTCTTACCTTAATCCCAACACATGTGCCTTTGTCTCAGGAGGACCACCTGAGCAATAGGCAGGCAGGTGATTGGATGCTGGGAAAGGCTGGAAAAAGAAGAAAAGCTTACCACTTGTCTCTGCTTGTTGAAGAAGGGTCATATCCACCTACACTGGTGGCATTCTAACTGGTACTTGCCCAGTTAGTTTACCAATCAGAATTTTTTGCATTTGGATGGGAGCATATGCCAGCGCTTGGGGGGACATGTGTCAGTATCGGTGAGAACTATCACAGGAAACACATATTGGACATATCTAAGTATAAGGTATTCAGAGTCAAAAGTCATAAGAAAAAAATAGATACATTTTTGTGGTTTCGCACGGGAGTCATCCAGAAAACATAACATACCAGGGATGCTTTCGAAGGGGTGGGAGCTGACTGCTGATATTGTGACCCAAGACTCACAGTCCTTTCCCTGCTTTGGCTTCCCCGTACAGGTGCAGTGCCACACTTACACAGGGTATTGCTGGTGTGTCACCCCGGATGGGAAGCCCATCAGCGGCTCTTCCGTGCAGAATAAAACTCCTGTATGTTCAGGTACCGTAAGAAGGGGCGGGAAAGAAGAAGAGGGTTGAAGAGAGACCCCTTGGCTGTCTCCTGCCTCTTGTGGAGGAATTTCTGAAAGATGGGTGGTGGACCTGAGCCATCCCCCTGGTGAGGGGGGGTCCCACTCAAACATGCACTTGCTCTGCAGTCAGCCGGGTGATAGGGGCAGTGCATGCCAGTGTGCATGTATTTATTAGTAAGTTTAGGTTTCTGGTTTAAGGCTCTTTTCCCCAAGTACCAGCTGTAACCCTTAGAGCATGGCATATACATTCTTAGCTTGAACACTCTGGTTGCTAGTGGCCCTGGGAGCACTGTACTGAGGTGGCTTTCACGGCTACATGGGAGGTCAACATCAAAGGCCGTGATGATCGATGAGTGATGTCTGTCACAAGCACGGGAGGGGAGAGTGGTGGCCTTTGTGCCATATACTTGCCACCCCTGAGTGGTGTACTGTGGAGTGATAGAAAATTTTCCTCACAGTGGCCCTCAACTCTGGCTGTCATCAGCAGTGCCCGGGGAATTCAAAAGAACCTGGGTGTTGACGCTCCCCCTTGTAGATTCTGATCCAGTAGGTCTGGGGTGAGACCTAGAGCCCGCATGTTCATAAGCTTCTCGGGTGCTTCTGATGATTGGACAGGTTAGGGAACCCCGCTCACAGTAACCCTCTAGGTCAGCCCATGGCAAAAATTAAGTCCTTTCTATGTCCAGCTTTGTAAGCACAGAGAAATTTTGCTCTTAGGTCAACTTCATGGCACTGTAAGCTGTGGATTTGCACAAGCCCCACACTTCCCACTTAAATTAAGATCGTCAGGGACTTGAGAGCCACTCCCTGAACCCACCCTGCGGTTCAGCCCTCACTAAAAACCCCCTATCCCACCGGCAGCCACTTCATATTTCTCTGTATCTGTGTGAGTGAGGTTTCATTTATGTACTTATTTTTAATTTTTAAGTGCAAGCAAAGTGTAAAACATTGTTCTAAAACCTATGGGAATTCCGAAGGCTAGTAGTCCTGCTATCCTAACATTTTTCCTTTTTCACAAAATGTATTCATTTTTCCACTGGCCCCGCTGTATTAAAGGGAGAAGGACGTGGGAAGGGCAGTGCCTATCTACATTAGGAAACCAAGATTTGCAGGCTAAAAAGGAAAGTTTACTTTATTTGTGGTTTACATGGAAACTGGAAACCTTAATTGGGGGTGTTGCAGGGAGGGGTGGGAATGGGCCCTCCTTGCAGATGACCTGGAAAGTTTCATTTAAAGCAAACAAATGCACTAGAAAGAAGTCATGCAGGGTAAGATAATTGAATTCTCACAAGATCAGCCTATGGCAAAGGGGTATGAAATGCACTGGGAAAAAAAATGGGTTCTTTCTTTTCTTCTGTCGGTGGGTCCTCCTGTAGACGAGCTGGCTGTGCCCTGCCTGCATGGGCTTCCTGGAGAGACAGGTGCCCCGGGGTCAGGCCTGCGGGATGGGCACACACGGCACCCTAGCACATGCAGGGCAAAGTGTTGGGCCAAACACACCTACTACCCCCTCCTTAAGGAACAGCCTGCTGCATCTAGAAAATTGTTTCCATGCCTCAGACTATTTTGGCCCATTCAAGACAATTGGGCCAACAATTTTCTACTTATTGCACATGGAAAATCGCCGATTTCCTGCCCTAACCAGCGAGGGATGTCAATCATTGCTTTTGCAGTAAGAGGGGGTTTCTTTTCGGTTGGCCCCACTGGGTGGATATGGCTCTGAACGTGAAGCTGGTGGGAGTGGGGGAGATGGGGAGTGGAGGCGAGGGACAGTTACTGGGACGTTCAGTCAGGGAGTTATATGGATGTGGAATTTTGTAGCAGTCTGATTAAGACTATTGCCAGGGAACATGGAAATTATGGTTCATCTCAACAGTGCTGTGATAGCAGTGACACTGATGTTAAACAAACCCCACTCGACACGTGTGTATGTACTAACTTTGTATATAATGTCCCTAGATGTGTATACTATACATATACATAACCATATGCTCATAACATCAGGCTTTGCCAACTCTATGAAGGGAACCAACCACGCTGCATTCTGAATGTCTGTGTTTTTGTTTTCCCTCTCACTCAAGGTTCAGTCACCGACAAGCCCTTGAGCCAGGGTAACTCAGGAAGGAAAGGTGAGTAGAGTTTCACGCTTTATCTGCATGTTTGCTTCTAAAGCCAGTCCAAGCAAGAATCCTTGGACAAGATGGAAGGAGCTGGGGTGAAAGCTCAAAGTGCCCTGCAGAGAAAATCTGTTCTTATTCTGTGTTTCCTCCCAGAAGCACCAAAGGTAAGTAAGGCTCATCAGTGGTGGGGACCAAACTCCCAGAATTTCCGAGGGAGGTGAGCGAGTGCAGGGCACAGAGCTGGCAGGGACCCTGAGAATCTTGGTTCCGAGGAAGTTCAGTCAGTCAGCTTACCAGTGCAGCCAGCATTAAACCAAGAAGGATGATGGAAGTAGGCATGCTCAAGTCTGCTTGAGGACACCTACAGACAAAGAGAAGAGGGTTAGCACCTATACTGATCCTCCAAAGCAGAAGGAAACTGAGCCCAAAATAAGACTCCCTTATTTTGGAAGCCTATCTGAGCATTCCCCCCCTCACGGCTTCTCCTTAATAATTACTCCAGCTCATCCAGATTCTCTTTGCTAAGACTAGGCTGGTGTCATGTGCTTGTGACCTGTGCAGTTGTAGTCAGGAAATTCTCAATTATTTTGTCTTGGAACCTGTTTTTTTAAGTACATGAAGTCGACAGGTCACTTCTTCTTTGTAGGCACGTGAGCAGAAGAAAGACATGCAATGCCCCTGCCTGCTGCTGACCTTGGCTCCCATGTACACACAGCTCTGGGGATGCGTGCTGCAGGGGTTTTCCTTTACCTAGAATAACATTAAATAGCAAATTCAAAACACTGCCACAAGTCAGGAGAGACACCATGGAAGAGAGGCTGAAACTTTATTTTTAGTGTCTTTAGTGACACTTTTCCCGGCTTTTTGAACAAAGCGCCTTTCATTTTCATGTCCTACGAGGCCCTACAAATTATATATACCCTGATTAAGGCATGTGTCTGAGCGCTCCTTCGTGGACCAGCAGCATGCTGACTGTAATTTCCCATGTGGCAGACACTAAGACTCACTACTACTCACCTCCAGGTGACATGCACGGAGAGAGCTATTGTTGCATAGAAAACAGCTACCAATTTAATTGCATAAGAAAGCAATCCAGGACCTCCATTTTGAGCACTCAGGTAAAACCCAGACAGGGGACCTTGGCGGAGTCTGAGGTTTCCCACCTGACGCTGGGCCTTGGGAACTCCATGCTTGTAAGAGCCCACGTGATAGTTGGGTCTGCAGGGGGTCAGAGTGAGGGGCACATGCTGTCACGGGGAGACCAAGGCGAGTCCCTGGACCCTGCTCCAGGGACTCACTGCATGGGGACAGGAAGAGGGGGCAAGGTCACCCTTCCTGAATGCAGGCGACAAGTGTCCAGAGAACCTGCTGCTCCCAAAGGCAGGTGGTCTAAGAAGATGTGGAAGCGGAGCATGGTAACACCACCACTCACTAGAAAAGGGGGGCCGACGGACCAGATGGGCTGCTCCCTCCCTTTCCTGCGAGCAGGAACGAGTAAGTGGGTGAGACGACACAAGTGCCTCTCCAGGTCTTTCCCAGGACAGAGGAGACAGCCGCGAGTGCTGATGGTTCCCTTTTAGGGAAAGAGGCGCATGGATGTTTCTTCCTGCAAAGACCTGAGGTCATCCATACTGTGAATGGCGTGTGTCTACAATTTATTGGGGTTGAAAAACAAAGCTGCCTTCCATTCTGCTTGTTGCAACTGGAGTCTTCAGAGCATGGCCTTTATTTCTGGGCACGAGGTCTTGGTGGTAGAAAAAATAAATTGGCAATCACGCAGAACTGACTGCCCAGATTTTCCCCATGGAAGGGAACTCAGAGCATGATGCTGAATAAAGCACCCATCCCAGGAAAGGCCACCCATGGGTTTGGGTTTGGGTTCTTCAACTGCACGGAGGAGTACTTTCCAGGTTGATGTGGCTTTGCACCCTGAGAATAGCAATAAGAGTCAGACACGTGTCACGGTGGGGCCTCGTGGATTCACCTGGAAGAGGGCAGGGGACCTGATTCCTCCAGGGATGGTGCAGGGAACAGGGGGGACAGTCTGAAGTCTCATCTCAGAGATAAGTTACCATCAATTTTTAGTTCTTTGCTCTCCTACTCAAGATAAATTCCTCCCTTCCAGATGGTTCTGCTGAGGCTTCCACTTTAGTGCAAAGGCCTTGGGAGGTGGGTGGGGGGGTTGGGTGGTGCAGAGAGGGATGCTAGGGCTCTCTCACCCCTGGAGAATTGACTTCTGTCAGTGGGCTCAGTTTCCTTCTGCTTTGGAGGATCAGTATAGGTGCTGACCCTCTTCTCTTTGTCTGACATGGGCAGTGCAGTGAAAAGCAGTTTCTGGCCACCTGGAGGAAGGGCCACCTGAAGCCACACCTGTCCAGGAAGCTGAGTTTTGAATGGGGACAGGGTGCGAGAGGGCATTCGTAATATCCTGTGTTGGCCCGCTGAGGTCCCTCTTTCAGCTGCCACTTAAGAATGGAATGTGCTCCAGAGGGCAGCAGGTGGGAAGACACAAAGGCCCCTTGTCTGAGCTCGTGCCCACATGTGGGGTCTCCTAGAAGGCATCTCCAGAGAGCTGGAGCTCGCGGCCCTGAGGCCGGCCACAGACAGATGCTAGGCCTGGCCCTCGAGCAGGGTAAGGGGTACAGCCAGAAAGGAGGTGAGGCTGGAGGGCTGGGTGTGTGAGCGCTGGTGGGGGGTGGTGGGGGAGGAGTGGACCCAGCCTATTCTTTCTCCACCCTCTTGCATTTGCTCCTCTGACAGGGCTGGAGGGATCGGTTCTCTCTGCCTGGAAGGAATGAAAAGGCGTATTGTGCAATGATGGAGAGTCTGGTTGCCAGCCAGGATTCAGTGCTGCAAAGGAGAGGAGAAAGGCAGAGCAAGAGGAGGCAGGGCAAGGAGGCCCGGAGAGATAGCGGGAGGAAGGGAGGAGGGAGAGAGGCCAGGCTGTAGCCGGTCACAGCCGGCTGGCTGGGACAGGGTGGCCTGGGTTGTTGAGGCTCCTGGGTCCACAGGTGTGGGGCCTGAGGGGAGAAGGGGGTTCAGAAGGGAGGGAGGCGCTGTTATCTTACCCAGATGCACGTGCTTCTGCAAGGGAGAGGGTCAGAACTTCAGACTATTTATTTAATCCCTTGGAATGTCCTTCCCTCGCTCTGATCTTTGGGCCCCTTGTGTTTCACGAACCCCTTTACAGGCACATGTGTGGTAATTAACACGTGCAGCGTGGGTCCTGGCCATGTGTTTGAGTTTCAAATATCCATTGATCTGGGGCGCTCCCATCCTGGCCACCCCTCCCCTTCTGCTCCATTGGTCCTCGCCCTTGAGGAGCGATGGAAGGGGCTTGTGTGTGTTTGGAGGGTGGGGGACACATGTGCATCCACATGTATTTTATTGAGGCTCCAGAGGAATGTCAGAGCAGGGGAACAGGCCCCCAGCAGCCCCCTAAGCTTTGATGATCTGCTGCTGCTAAACCAGTTGAAGGCTGCAGAAGTTGCAGTAGAGGTGAATTTTTGGTTACAACCGAAGGAGTCTGAAGAATGGCTGGGAAGCAAATGTCTTTAGAGATCATGAATGTATTCTGAGTAGCTTTTCCTAGCTGACCAGGACTTGTGGCTTTTCCTGTGGTGTCTTTTGGGGAGTCTTGATGACAATGAATGTGTGTGATTTTGGGAGCCTTCGGGAGAACTGAACACAGACAGGACTGGTCCTGGGCTTCATTGCTTGTAAGGTGTCAGAGGGAAGTTCTCAGCTTCCAGCAGGGTGATGGGGAGTGGAGGCGGTGGCTGGCGTGGTGGAAATGATTACATGAAAGAATAAGGGGAGAACATTTATAAAATGATCACTGGTAGTTGTCTGGGAGTTTTTTCCTTCTGAGTACCCAGGATTTTAGAGACTTTAGGGTGCTACTTCTCTAAATGGCAAGTGAAAGTTTTGGGGCCATCAGGAGTTTTCTGTGGGTTGCCCTTTTCCTATTTGTAAGAAGTTTGGGAGTTAGCCATTTAAGGAAAGTGAGGTGAAAAATTAAAAATGTGAGCAGACTTTGCATACATTTTTTGCACGGGCTTCTGTGTTTGTCAAGCCAGTCTTGGAAAGGGGCTGAATTTCCAAAACGTGACTCACCTTTACTTTGCAGAGACTGTGGTTTTAGGTTTGGTTTTTTTTTTTTTTTTTAAGTCCTTCCCTGGCTGCTCCATAGTACGTGCTCTAAATGAGTCACAGTCATTTCCCTCTCTTTGTCCCTATCTTTAGAGCTTCTCTTGGAGGCTGGTCTACAGATTGGTACCAGCTTGGAGTCTTGTCACTCAAGTGATGGACTGGGCTGCGCCCTCAGTGGTGCTGAGGGGTGTGCTTAGGGCAGGGGTGATGGATGGCAGGCACCCCAGAGGAAGGGAACTGTGTGGCTGCCAGCCTCAGCCCTCCCAGTTAGCACACCTGAAGGAGGCTCGCCTCATTGCCCTGAGCCTGGCTGAGTTGTGCAGGCTGGCTGTCTCAGGACACTGTACTTGTAAGTCTGATTACCCACCAGCAGGGGCTGGAGTTGCATGGAGATGGGCCGCTGATGGCTTCTATACACACTGAATTTCCCTGTGGAGATGCATTCTGATTCTGATACTGGGCCTGCTGAACAGAGAGGCCCGGCAGCTCCAAGCCCATGAGAGGCAGCTCTTTGCTCCCTGCACACATTTTGCTGCTGCTCTCTGGTGCTCTGAACCACCCTGACCAAGCCTGGCATATCTGTGTGCCAGCTTTGCAGAGATTAGTTGACGAAGAGGTTGGCACAAGTGTGCGTGAGCGCTCACGCATGCTCCCTCCTTCCCACTGTCAAGTACTCCCCCAGCTTGGCTCCACCTATTCAACCCCCTGCCCTTCATCGTGCACCCTATTCTGGGGTCCCCAAAAGGAAGCTTATGCATGGAAGATACAAAATTAAGAGTTTGAATCCCGGCCATATCCACATTTCCAAGAACTGGAGAAAACAAACGGAGTATAGCGATCTGGAAGAGCCTCCTAGT